CTGAAATATCTCGTACTCATAAATAACAATTCAAAAGCATCCATTACACATAGTGTTACAATACAAATACTCAAGTCAACAAATAACAGATTATTTAATAGTGGCATAGACAACCCCTATGCTCACATCAAATAACAACATAATCCATCAAATCTAGTCATAATAAAGTCTCATCATGGAAGAATGAATAATCATAATATGCATGATTCATAACAATAATGAAATCTCTATGCTGGCCTCTTGCCTCTATTAGTGTCCGTCTCACGAACGTCATCTCCTGAAAAGGTGCCCCAAAAAGGGGTGAGATTTCTAACAGAAATCTCAGTAAGACAAAGGGTCCTTAAGGAATCCTCCACCCAAGCTCACTTACAGACATAATATAAGTTCTAAAACAGTGCATGCAATATATAAAGAAGCAGATTAATAACAAGATAAATGGAATGACTATACTAGGCTATTTATAGCAGTAAACAATACAATATATAAAATGAAAATGTCATGCAATATATCAAATGAGTGTGCAATGTCGCATATGTCCATGTCATGTGTGTATGCATTCTCAAACATACATCATGTGGGTGCGCAAATCATAATCCTACTGGCCAGAGAACAATGTAGGTATTACGCACGTCTGCAACCTACTCAAAAGTATAAAGAGTTCACCTTATACCCACACTACAAGAGTTCTACCCCTTACATGGAGTCCACCATGCTCAGGAACCCCACACATGTGTTTTCCACACTACTCCACCTACATATACATGTAGCAATGCACTATAACAGAATCCAGCTCAACAACTTATCTAATACTCATAACATAAACAGATATAATTTCATAATCCAGCTCAACAACATATCCAAGACTCATAACATAACAGATATAATTTTCAGAAAACATACCATGCACATAAATCAATCCCCCATGGGGTTTGATAGAACAACCAACGGATAAAACCGAAGACCAAAAGCTTACCTGTATCGGTAAAGTCCTCTAATACTAACTCAGTATTAACGTGGTCACCGACAACCAAATAATTCAGCGAGTCACAATCTGGTTTAATGGCAAACACATCATCAATAATCATATCCTACAATTTCAAGTCAAATAGAACATGTTTTCTTTTTCGTTTAGCGTACTGCAGGCTTTTCCCAAAGCCGTTAAGCACAAACTGTCTTTACCATTTTTTAAACTTCATATGCAAATCTTTACCAAAAATTCTAATATTTTAATATGTTAAACTAGACATCTCAAGCTTTCCAACGACATATTTTATGTCTCATTTGGAGTTGTATAACTCCGGTTATGTTTTCGCAAAGTGACTGCTGCAAACTGAATTACCACCTATGCAGAATGCAAAAATGCAGATTTTTCTGCATAATTTGATCTCCAATGGCCTCTCAAGGTTCCCACCTTCGATTTACCCACAAAGAGAAGTTCAAACTACCATATTACACTTAAATTAACAACCTTTTACTTGAATCATCAAATTTTTCCTTTTTAACAACCCAAAACTTCATCTTTTTCATAGAAAATAATGAGGAAAGAGTAGAGTGTATATCCAATGCTTGAAAATAGCAAAAAGAAGAGACTTTAGAGGTCTTACTATAGCTCCAAGCTATTGTCCAAGAAGGTGCACGAATTTAAGCTTCCAATTTTGGTTCTTTCTCCACAAATGTTGGTTCTTGAAGCTTGAAAGTAGGTGGAAATGGCTCAAACTCCACAAAACACACAAGGATACACTCCTCACTCACCAAGGCAGTAAGCACACTCTTTCAAGATGCTCACTTTCTTCACTAATCTCACAAACTCAAAGTGTTTACATTGATGAAATGATCATTGGTGAAGAAAAGAAGGAGTCTTGGTGATTTTTCTTGGAGAAAAACTTGTCTTTCATGTAGAATAAAGGGTGGAAGCCATGAAAAAATGAAAGACACCTAAAATTCTGACCTAGGGTTTAGTGTCATTAAATATATATAGGTGGACTTACTTAAATTAATAGTATTAGTTTAATTAGTTTAGCTTTTCGTTTAACTCTAAAATTTTATATTCTTAACCTAGACATTTTTCAATGAATTATCATATTTTTATTATAATTTTTCAAGACACTTCACCTGGTACGCGTTTTATAATGCGAAATAGTCGGTATTAGTTCTGATATCACTGCTTATTATTTTTATCCCAAATTTGATATTCTTAACCTAGATATTTATTTAAAAATATTCATATTTTTATTTCTATTTTCTGGATTACTTCGCTGGTATCCATTATACCGCAAAATACCCAGTGTTTGCATTTTCCCTCTAACAAGTGATAAGATATAATTATTATAATCTTTCTATATTTATCCAGGATCAATTATGGAATTATTTATTAAAATCATATTTAACTGATTAAATTCCTAATTTAACGGTGCGAGTTCTTACAATTTACATCATATAATGAATCAATCTCAATAAAAAATCGAGGAGGGTGATTAAGACCATACCTTCGATGCTTTAATCACTTAGTAAAGTTTGCACAAGAGAAGGTTGAATGACTCTGGTCCACTCTAATGGTAATCCACACTATCTCCACGATCGACAATGAAGAACAACTTTCAATCACATAGTAAGGTTTGCACAAGTGAGGATTTAAAGACTCTAAGCCACTCCAATGGTGTTCCACACTATCTCCTCCAACGACAATGAAGAATGCCTTCTTCTTGTTCTCATCTTCAACCTTGAGAGCTTGCTGGGCTTTGGAAGAAGGGTGAAGGTCAAGTGTTTGGGGTGATGAACTCTTCATGATCTCTTACTATACATAGATTCCCAAGTTCTACGCAATTCATTCAAGTCTCATTGGTCTTGTGGGTAACTAATTAATTCCTCATAGGGGATGATAAATTCCTTCGGCTTATTCATATACACTTGTGCCCTTAGATATATCCATAAGTGCATTATTCTCCCCATTTTCAAACAGATAGAGTTGTACCCTAAAACATGACCCTTCAGATACAGTGTATGATAACAACCATTGGTCTAAGGATGATCTGTATTACTAAACGATGAGAGACATTACATATCCAACAATACTTTTATAAATTTTTTTGTGGTGTCTTTTAGCGGGTTAGTTTAGCATGACACGATCCGCTACGAATCCACCCACAACATATGTTAAGACATCTGCCTGCAATCGCGAGGTATGTACTTTACGTCCCCACTTTAGTAACCTAGTGTCGTGCTAGTCTAATTGAAACGACCAATGCCCTCTTTTGGTGTCTCACTAGGAACAAGTTTAGCGAATAATCATGTAGTGAGTTTGAATCCTTATGATCATGATTTCATCATAGATCCTCAAGATACACTCGTACCATCTCAATGATCTTTATCTATATACGCATATAGGAAGAGAGAAATGATATGAGATTGGTAAAGTGCGTTTTATAAAAATAAATATCAAATATCATATAATGCCTTGTAGTACAAATAAGATATTGGCTCTTAAATTATGTCTAGATACCTACCTATATTAATAAGTGGTAGTTCACCTCTTTCACTCTTTATTAGCAACCACCGTCTCACAAAGATTTAACAATTGAGATGAACTTATGGGACATTTGGTACAAGGACAAATTTTGAATTCCTGAAAAACTAACATTGGTAATCTTATTTGCCCACATTTAATATATTGATTCTGAAAATTTTTCACGAAAATCTAATTTTCTCAGAATTTTGATTTGTGAACCATTTGTATGCCAAAAAGCCATCCAAAAATACCACAAAGTGGGGTGATATTCTTTGATTCCTAGGTGATTGAAATTTTTTTCAAATATTTTCGAACCACAATATCCTATGTTTTCTGAGTGAAAAACTCCCTACTGTCTTTCTCTTCTCTCTAGTTCGTTCGGTCGTCTCAATATTTGATTAGATCCTCATCCACCTTTTGTGTGTATTCTCTCTTTGCTTTCTTCAATCAAGTTTCGATTTTGATCTTTTTTTTTTTGATTTCTAACCTCTATCTTCTCTACCCATTTCTTCATCTCAACATAAAAATCAACAAAATTATAGAAAGCCCAAAAAAAAAAAAAATTATAAATGAGTTGCACGATGAGGAAAAAGCACATTAGAGCTAATCGAAGATGTTTTCTGGATTCTTTGGCTGTGTAAGAGATATGAAGGCACTGCTGGTTTGACTCCGATTCTTGGGAATCTTGTTCTTCGATTGGCAAGAGGGCATCGATAGTAAGGGATTTGATGCCGAAAATTCGTATAGAGAATCGGGTTTGTTGTTGGGATCCTTGCTACTACCCATCACAACCCAAATAAATAGAACAAAAATGAGTTCGAGGGTCTGAGATTTGAATGGTGGCTAAGGTTATGTTGTGTTGTGTGTTGGACTCAAAGACTAAAATTTCTCAGCTGAGAGTTACTACTTGCTGGGGCTCAAATTTTTTTGGCTGAATATTAATTGTAAGATTAATTTTGTAAGATCATTCTATATTCTTAATAATATTTTGATCTATCAAATAATTTTTTGATAACATTTCAAAAAATTAATTTTTCCACTATATTTTTAGAAATAATGATTCTCAATTATAAAATAAATTTATCTTCTACCAAACACACTCTAAGTAAACCACTTGATCTCGGACCAGTTTACTTCCCCGTTGCGGACAAATCCAGAATTGATCAATTCCACGTATGTGAAACCAATTTTTATAACCGAATAAAATACCTAGTATAAGAATGAGAATAAAACAATATGCCTGAAGACAATGCAAATGCTTAATAAAGAGACAATATGCTGTCGTGCTAAAATTCTTTGCTCGCCAAGTAAAAATCCAAAAAAAGAGAGAGAGATAAACAAGGAGTGAGTTGAGCCCGTCCCATCCCGGCCCCACCATTGATATTTTATGCGTATTCAGTGAACCAAGACGTGATTACGATACAATATTGTGCTAGTTGACACTGTTTTAGTGTGATGCCGTGTCAAATCCACCGAAACCTGACCCGTTGGGCTTACGATAAATAAGATACACTCTCACACACCAAAAAATGGCATCCATAGTTGCTTCCTTAGTCCCCTCTTTTACTCTCACTACTTCATTTCTCGCTTCTTCTTCCTCTTCCTCTCATCTCTTTCTCAAAACACTCACTCTAAGGTCCTCTTCGTCATCCCTGCGTCTTTCTTTTGCTGCACTGCCTCTGCGCAATCTCATGGCACGTGCCAGTCTCGGCCTCACTAACCCTGCCGACACAGAAACCCCCAAGGTCCCTCTCAAGCCCAAGCTCTCTCTTTCAATTACTTAATCGGATTCGATTTATAATTAGAATCAATGCTGACATGTCTATTTTGTGTTTGTGAAAATGAAAACGGAAGATCGCTTTTGCGGCGAAGGAGGTTGACGTGGCGGAATGGAAAGGGGACCTGCTTGCGGTTGGCGTAACGGAGAATGACGTGGCGAGGGGAAATGATTCGAGATTCGAGAACCCCGTTTTGAACGCGTTGGACTCCAAGCTTGGAGGTTTATTGGCTGAAGCCTCTTCCGAAGAGGATTTCACCGGAAAAAATGGCCAGTCAACGGTTCTCAGAATCGCTGCTGGACTTGGATCCAAGAGAGTCGCCTTGGTTGGGCTCGGCAAGTCGGCTTCAACCGCCGCCGCTTTTAAGGGCTTCGGCGAGGCCGTTGCTGCCGCCGCCAAGTCAGCTCAGGCCACTCATGTTGCCGTCGCTCTTGCCTCTTCCCAAGGACACTCTCCCGAATCCAAGCTTAACACCGCATCTGCGATCGCGTGTGGTATGATAATTGTTTCTTTCTATCTCACGTTATTTTTTTGTTAAAATTAGATGAACTCAAATAAATAATATAATTGGATTCATATCAGGTAAATAGATCTTTTTTACAATCGCCTCGATTGGTGGTTATGTACATTTGTTTCTTTGATGATATACATATATATGTGTGTGTGTGTGTGTGTGTGTGAGGTTGTGATGTTTGTGAATTAAGATTGAGGTGTGTGGTAGGGACTGTGCTGGGAACATTTGAGGATAATAGGTACAAGTCAGAATCGAAGAAACCGACACCGATGCTTAGATCGGTTGATATTATTGGTCTTGGAAAGGGGCCTGAATTGGAGAAGAAACTTAAGTATGCAGGAGACGTTTCTTCTGGAATCGTGTTCGGAAGGGAGCTTGTAAATTCTCCTGCTAATGTGCTCACGCCAGGTTCGTATGAAACTTTTGATTGTGTTTATAGCTTCTAGACTCACACACACATAAGGTTGTCATGCTAACCGTGATGTCCTCGTGAACTCAAACCATAAACTCACAGGAGTGTGTACTTCAAAAATATTATTAAAAAAATATATCTTAGTAACTACACATAATTAAATGGCATGGTCATGCGTAATATTCACATTCCAGCGCTATGACAAAGCAAAATAAAAAGATAAATGAGTACTTGAACCAAATGTTATGCTGTAGTGTACATAGCCCTGCACTTGCATTATTTTGCAGTTTAATAAATCAGGACAAAAATAATAATGAAAACATAAAATTAATTTCATAAACGCAATGTGCATAGCAGAGGGAATTCAAACTCTAGCACTGAACAGAATTGGGAAAAAATATGCATTTGGAGGCCAAAGCCATGTGTAAATTCAGGCTTTTAAACTCACTAGTAGAATTGAGAATTTACTGCAAAAAAGAGAGTTTACAGACGAGTTTGCTCTTCTGAAGGTATTTGTAAGAGTTTAAGAGTTGACTTGAGAGTTTGACAACCATGTATGTGCGTGTGTGTGTATTGCTAGGCCTTGCAGCAGTTCCAGGGCAGGCAAATTGAACAATATCATTTTGTTTCACTTCAACATGTGCGAGATGCTTTTGCATTTCTAAAAATTGACATGTTCTTGATGAATTGTTTGCCTCAGGGGTATTGGCAGAAGAGGCATCTAAGATTGCTTCAACATATAGTGATGTTTTTACTGCCAAAATATTAGATGCTGAACAGTGTAAGGAATTGAAAATGGGGTCCTATCTGGGTGTTGCTGCAGCCTCGTCAAACCCTCCTCATTTTATCCATCTTTGTTATAAACCACCAAGTGGACCTGTCAATGTCAAGTTGGCATTAGTTGGAAAAGGTTTGACTTTTGATAGGTAATCAATTTAATCATACCTATTTCTATTTTAGCCACAACTCAAAAATAGAATGGTCAATGTGAACTAAGTTTGTCCTTCATGTTATTTATCGTGATGACTTTGATGTGGTTTTGCATGTGTCACCCATTGAAGAGCATGGTGCACCATATATTACTTGAAAGTATTAGTATATTGGAGTTTATTGCCAAATAGATTGTTAACTACTAGACCAGTGACTTCTATGTCTGTTGCAATACTATTATCTAGCTTGATGGCCTTATGTTATTATTGAAGATATGCTATTTGTGAATTGTACTTTCATTCAAGGTTGGTGTTTTAATCTCTACAACACATGGCTGAGCACCACAGATATACTATTTAACTATGTATTCACTTTTTATAATTTTCTGTACTTGTTGGCTTAATTCAATAGTTACCCGTGCAAGGCAGGGGCTCGATACTAGTTATCTCAATTGTATTTTCCCTCTAAAATTATCAATTGGTGTATTCTGCCATAATATATCTTACATCATCCCATTACAGATAGCCCCCTTGTCTGAAATGAAAATGAATTATCCCATCTGCCATCCTGAATTTGAGAGTTATTGTTAAGGGAAATTTTGTGTTGTATTGGCTTTTTGAATCAAAGCAGTCACATGAGGTCATGTGATGGTTGTTTCCTTTACAATTTATTGACATTGAAAAACTTGTCAGGTAGAGGGCTATAGTTAATAGGATGATATATCGATGTGGAATATGCTGAAATTGGTAGTTTAGGGGGCAAGTGGTAGTGGAGTAATAGGATCAGGGGGGATAAGAGCAATTTCTCCTTTCTCTTTTGTTTTTGTTGTTTACATATAATATAACAGCTTATAATTTGTCTTTTCTCTTATTTCTTGTTTTTGTTTTACTTGCATATTATATTAGTGGGGGCTACAACATCAAGACAGGACCTGGCTGTTTGATTGAGCTCATGAAATTTGATATGGGTGGTTCTGCTGCAGTTTTTGGAGCAGCAAAAGCTCTTGGTCAAATAAAACCTCTTGGGGTGGAGGTCTGTCATTTATGTCATTGTTCATGACCTTTTTCTTTTTCAAAGAATGGCATTTGAATTGATTGTTTTGTGCATAATTTCTGTTATCCTTCTAACTTCCAAAGCAATTCTAGAGCCTTTGCTTAGTAGTTGGTGGTGGGTTCATATATGTAAAGAACAAGAGGAGATTTTTATCTCATTTTAAATGTTTCATAATTGAACTATTCAGTATGAACTGGGTGGCTACTTTCCTATGGAGCACTTTGTGTGGAGTTCTTGTAGCAATTTCTCGACTCCTTTTAAAGTTTTTGATAAAATTATGGAGGCCAAAATTTTGTAGTGGTGAGTAGTAAGTAGTTTATGCAGTTGTTTTTAGTATATTTGGTTGTAGTGGAATGCCTGTGTTGTCCAGTGCATCTCTTCACCCCTGCATATGTTATGGGATAGGACTGTGCTTATTGCTTCTCTTTGTTCTTCCTAATGGGTGTTTTAGAGGGGTGGGGGTTCTGCGATTTGGAATGAGATTGGGCAGCTTTATTGCAGTTTTGATACTCTCTCTCTATCTTTCTCTCTCTTTCTAGGAAGATATCTTATCCTTCTCCTACTTTTGGCTCTCTGTTCTCTCTAATATAATATTGTCTTTCTAAAAAAAAAAAGCATTTTATATCCAAGTTTAAACATGTGCGTGTGCAGGTTCATTTTATAGTCGCAGCTTGTGAGAATATGATAAGTGGAACAGGTATGAGGCCTGGAGACATTGTCACAGCTTCAAATGGAAAGACTATAGAGGTGAGGATTTATTACGTCCATTTTTTAAAATTTTTACATGTAAATTTAACTAATTGTACTTGGCCTTTTTAATAACCCAACCTGATCCAGAGTAATAATCTGATGCATTGGATTGGATTGGGCTTCCATTTGAGAAAAGTTGGCCTATAATCATTTCTGCTGATCTGGGATGAAAACTTTGATTGAATCCAGTATGTGGTCCAATGTTGCCTAATATACATTCTTTGATTGAATTTTTAATATAATAATCAGAGTTCAATTTTTGGATTTTCCAATCGAACCTTTTAAATTATTGATTCATACTGACATGTACTTAAAATAAATCATTAAAACAAAGTTTCAGATGTAATTATTATGCTATTTCATTATATTTTCTGTTGGTCAAAAGGTATTGTGCACTTCTTTTTGACACTTAGGTGTATCCTACATTTCTTTTCATATTAATTGGTTAAATTGCATTGTAGGTGTACAAGGTTTATTTGGTTGAAAAGACCAAAGATATTTTAGTTGTTTATTTTTAATTTTTTTATAAATTGACTCAAGATATTTCCTTTAATCAGTTATTTTTTATATTTTTGAAGTTGACCCGATATATTTATGTTTTTATTTTTCAAACTTTTGGAATCATTCTTAGTGTATAATTGCAAATCTATCCTAGCCATATCTGTGTCACTGTTACATAAATACATTTTATACAACTGGAAGTCTACGAATTCTAGTTTTGGCCTCTGAGATCTATATGATGGCAGAAGTGTAATACTTGGCCTTGTTTATTCATTAAGAACGTGACATTGACTTAACCTCTTGTGTAGGTTAATAACACAGATGCCGAGGGTAGGCTTACCCTGGCAGATGCTCTGGTGTATGCTTGTAACCAAGGTGTTGAAAAGGTATGCCGCTGTGCATCTTAATCTCTCTAATATTTCCATAGATCATAATGGATTGGCTTAACATTTAAAATTGCGTGTCTGATAGATTTGGTCATTAATGATTTCATTTCTAATTAGAGTTAGAAAAAAATGTTAGAACCGTTCCAATTTGTCCTGTCTTACTGAAGTAAAATTCAATTATTCGATGAATATATATTAATTTTTTTGTTAAAATATATGTGAAGTTTCAGTTCAGTTCTGTGTAAGTACTGACTGTGGGATTTTTGTGTTTACATCATCTAGTGCGCCTGTCATCATTGTATTTGGGATTATGACATTGTTTTAAACAAGCTTACAACTTTTTAGTTGTATAGTTTGGTTTTAGAACTCTGCTAACAGATTGACCAACTGTTCTTCAGATAGTTGACTTGGCAACATTAACTGGGGCCTGTATAGTTGCTCTTGGACCCTCAATTGCAGGTAATTATTAACTTAAAATTGCAAGTATTTTGTGTGGATTTGAATAACCATCTACCAGTATTTGTTTGAGTAAGAAAAAAGGGCCCAACTTATAGTTGGTTCTGAAAAATTGTAATCTCATGGGGAAAGAGAATAGCTAAGCTCTGGGAGAGGCAGAACCTGAAAGATACATATCTGTGGAAGTATCCACATTATTAACTGTTTACTAATGCTATTGGAACTTGCATTCTCATCAACTTCTGAACTCATGCAATGAATTATTCACTAGTAACTGTTTACTATTGCTATCTATTGTTTTTAAAGGCGTGTTTACACCCAGTGATGACCTAGCAAAAGAAATTTTTGATGCTTCTGAAGTGAGTGGGGAGAAACTATGGAGGATGCCATTAGAAGAAAGTTATTGGGAGTCAATGAAATCAGGAGTAGCTGATATGGTGAACACTGGTGGTCGACAAGGTGGTGCTATTACTGCTGCTCTTTTCTTAAAGCAGGTATATGCTTTTAATGTATAATTTGATTGCTTTGACTTTTCTCCTTAACCTAATGGTCCATTGCTACCACGGAGTGATAAAATAGTATCTGAATGCTATACCCCTTTTTCAAACTCCATGTTTCTACAAATGATTGTGTTCCGCTACTACTTATTGGTAGGAGTGTTGTACATGAAGTGGGTTGGATGATGTATGAACTGTCTTGATTTGGAGGGAAAATTTATTGTAGAAACTATTTATAGAGGAACCTACTGGGAGGAAAAACAAATGCTTTGTTTAAATAACACTGTTAATGTGTGCCTTCTTAGTTGCCTGGCTTTTATCTGTAGTCCTCTTGCATATTTATGGTGTGGTTTTCTGAAACAACTGTGCTTTCGCAGTTTGTTGATGAAAAGGTCCAATGGATGCATATTGACTTGGCTGGTCCAGTGTGGAATGATAAGCAGCGCTCTGCAACAGGATTTGGTGTTGCTACTTTAGTGGAATGGGTTTTGAGAAACGCATCTTAAATGCAAAATGAAATCTTGAAATCATGACATATTGTTAAATTGTGGTGTTTCTGGTTTGGTGAGGTCAGTTATATTTCTGAAAGGATATAAAAGATGGTGCCACGAGGCATAGTTTTTAGGCGTATTTCTCTGTATTTAAACTTTTTTAACGATTAACTAATGGTTAAATTAGCCTCTCAGTCTGTTTTGTTATTATTTTTAGCTTTGATGATTCTAATTCTAGTGTCCAGTGTAAATTTTTTGCGTTATTCTCGTCATTCTGGTATATTTGGAAGCATAGCAGGGAATATTGTCGGAGTCTTGGCTCTTGACCAATGACCTAATGGAAGAAAATTCTTGCTTGGAATATTTGATGTTAGGAATTAGGATTCCAGATCTACATTTGACTCATTCTTGTCTTCAATTTCAACCATGTTTGGTCTATATGAGCTGAATCAGTAGCTTAACAAAGCGACCTATAGTGCCCAGTGCCCACTGATAAGGATTTTAGTGATGCGCTGTTTGCAATGCTATCAGTTTGCTCCACCGTGAGTTTGGCACGGCGGTGATAATAGTGAGTGTCGCATGGCAACACTAAAGTGCGAAACAGAGTCCAAGAGCCTGTGTAATTTCTATTTCCACAAATAGATTTTTACTCTGTAGGGAAAAAAAATTGCTTGATAGGATTGTGCTGTGAAAATGACTCTCAACAATAAATACATTTTATACTTTTAACATTAAAATTAAAGAGTAGTTTACGGATTTCTCGAAAATAAATTTTTGGTTTTATTATTTTTATGGTGATTATTTTATAATTAGGAAGATTCATCAAAGGTATTTTTATAAATAAATTCTACTTCATATCAATTTTAAATTGCTTTAGCAATCTTATAATTATAATAGTTGATTATTTTAGGGAATTGTTTTTCTTATATAACATAAGATAAACCAATTTTTTTATAGATACATATAGAGAAGAGAGAATAGAGGAAAGAGAAAAAATATAAATGGATTTCACCTCTCTATATATGTATGTAGAAAAAATATTTTATCTCATATTAAATGAGAAAATAATTCTCCTTACTTTTAGAGGAGAGATATTCTCACTACTAAAAATTAGATAGGTAATTAACATTTTCTCTCTCTTCAATTTTTTTTTTAGCATTCTCTCTATTTAATTCAATGGTAATTAAATAGGTAGTAAGTTGGTAGTGAAAAATTTTAATAGTGAGAATATTCTACCTCTTACTTTTATAAGCAATTCAATTTCTTTTTAACTTTAGACTTAATTATAATCAAATATGTTTTCACTTATTGTGATTCCCAGTACAAGAAGAAAAATTGGGGCAAATACGCACAGAATTCCATAGACCTCCTTTAAATACGCCACTCTGGAAAAAGAATCGATATCTTGTATTTGTGATGTATCAATTATCATATGTTTTCTAATTTTTTTATTTTTAAAATTAATTTTCAGAATTCGTATTACATTATAGTTTTGAAGAATAAAAAAAAGACCAATTCCAAACATGTCCAAGTTTGACACAGTGTTATTAATTAGACCCGGTTTGAACTGGTCGAGTCAACCGAAACTTGGTGAACTGGTCATCAGATTTGAGTCAAGTATCGGACCGGTCATGTATTGGATCCAGTTAAATCCGGTCAAAATCAGTGACCCGGTTGGGTCATGAAAATCGGTGGATTATGCATTTTTATAAAAAAACAAAAAACAAAAAACAAAAAACAAAAACCCTAAACCAAAAACCAAAGTTGTCTTGTATTGTGAAACTGCTTTCAAAAACTTTTGTAATTTTGTTTGTTAGTAGTATACTCTCTTACAGTGACATCAAATTTCAGCTTCAAGGATTGAAGCAACTTGCAGAACAGTAAATTAAGAGAAGATAACGTATTAATTATAAATCCAATTTTATGGGAAGAGTTGTTGGTAAATGGCTTATAATTATTAAATATGATTAGTTGAGGATACTTAGTAGAGGAATTATATATGTTTACATGATATTTTGAATTTTCTTTTTTCTTTATTTATTTCTTTTATAGTATATTGTATGTGGTTACCATATATGACTTTTTTTATCCCTACAAAAACTATATATGTTTGTAGCCCAATATAATAATTTGTTTACATGTATTTGAATATTTTATGTATAAAATATAGGTTTTATGTACTAATCCGGGTCATGTAATTTAATTGGTGATTCACTTATTAAACCAATAACCCAACATCTCGGTCGGATTAATGACCTAGTTGGTTATGATAACATTGCTGTGAAACTCCTTTGGGGATGTTTGGTAGAAGATGAAATCTGGTACCAAAAGGTTGCTTTCAATATTCACAAGAGTGCCTTTTAATAGGCAAGGTACACAACAATCAGAAACTAACTAAGTACAGAGAACAAACGTAACAAAGTGTATCCTAACAAACTAGATACTAACAAACTATCAAAGTGAACTATATCTGCAGAATATCTACAACTGCACAACAGCCTAGTATCTATATGGATAACATCATATCTCCAACACTCCCCCTCAAGTTGGAGCATGTAAAAATGAAATGCCCAACTTGGGAAGAAATGCAAGAAATAGAGACTGTCCCAGAGCCTTTGTGAAGATGTCAGCGAGCTGGGAATGTGAACGAACAAACGATGTAGCAATTGTATTGGCTTGAACTTGCTCGCGGACGAAATGACAGTCAAGTTCTATGTGTTTAGTGCGTTCGTGGAAGACTGGATTCGCAGCTATGTGGAGTGCTGCTGTGTTATCGCAAAACAACTCCATGAGATGACTATGGAGTACACCAAGAGAGGCAAGGAATCCTTTTAGCCAAATCAGTTCTGCAGTAGCAGCTGCCATTGCTCTATACTCGGCTTCAGCGGAAGATCGAGCAACTGTCACTTGTTTCTTTGTTTTCCACGACACTGGTGATGTTCCTAACATCACAAAATAACCAGTCACAGACCTGCGTATGAGTGGACATGAGGCCCAGTCAGAATCGCAATATGCATGGATTTTTAAGTCACAATCAGATTTCAGGAGGAGGCCTTGGCCTGGATTGCGTTTCACATATCGAAGGACTCGCATAACTGCATCGTAGTGAGCCTGCTTCGGTTTCTGCATAAATTGAGAGAGAATATGAATAGCATAGCTTAAATCCGGTCTTGTGATATTGAGATAAATCAGCTTTCCAATCAAACGTCGGTAGCGTTCAGGATTTGCAAAATCTGGTCCATCTGCAAGTCCAAGGTGATGGTTTTGTTCAATTGGGGAGTTGGCTGGTTTGCTGCCACTGAGTCCAGATTCATGTAATATGTCAAGTGCATACTTCCGTTGGCACATAAAGATTCCTGTTTTGCTACGAGCAATTTCGATGCCAAGAAAGTATTTCAAACTGCCTAAATCTTTGATCTTGAAACATCTACTCAAGTATTCCTTCACTTCCTTACACGCTTGAGGATTATTTCCTGCTAGCACTATGTCGTCCACATAAATTAAAAGAGCAAGAAAAACATCACCTCTTTGCAGTGTGAAGAGGGTGTAGTCTGCTCGAGATTGCTGGAACCCGTAGGCTGTGAGTGAAGAGCTCAACTTTGAAAACCAATTTCTAGGTGATTGGCGCAAGCCATATAGAGACTTCTTTAGTCGGCAAACTTGTTGTCGGGATCCATTGTTAAAACCTGGGGGAAACTTCATATATACCTCCTCACTGAGGTCCCCATTAAGGAACGCATTATGAACGTCAAGTTGATACAATTCCCACCGTTTGGCTGCTGCGACTGCCAACAATGTTCGCACACTTGTCATTTTTGCTACCGGTGCATATGTTTCACCAAAATCTTCCCCAGCAACTTGATGATTTCCTGCAATAACCAGTCGTGCCTTGTACCGTTCAATGGTCCCATTTGAGTGGTATTTAATTTTGAACACCCATTTGCTAGGTAGAGCTCGCTTCCCTGGAGGTAACTCTGTGATTGCCCAAGTGCCATTATCTTCTAAAGCAGTTATTTCTTTCCTCATAGCGTCAACCCACTGTGGGTTTGTCATGGCTTCTCTGAAATGCCTGGGTTCATGGCCTGCATCAATAGTAGCCACAAAGGCACGATGGTGGGGAGAAAAATTAGATAAAGTAAGAAAATCATGGAGTGGATATTTGATACCTGACCGTGCATTGAAGGGTAGACCGGATGGGGCAGGAAGTTCATGTGTTTCAATTTTGTTGCACTCATAATCATTGAGATACGTAGGAGGCCTTCTTGGACGACGTTGACAATTGTGATCAGTATGGGGTATCAGAATACTCCCTCTGTCATCGTCATTTGCACCGGGTGGTGGTTCCATCGCGTGGGGTACCACAATACTCCCCCTGTCATTGGTATTTTCACCAAGTGGTTGTTCCATCTCTTGTGATAGCACATTGTCTTGCGCTGGCGCACAAGTATCATTGTCGTCGTTGTCTTCTGTGGGATTATTATCATCTGTCATCGCAGGCAAAGATGTTAATGAAGGGTGGCTGGAATCATTAGTTGGTTGTGTAGCAAATGGAAAGGTGCTCTCATGGAATTTCACATCCCTGCACACAAAGTATTCTTTGGTGTCCAAGTCATACAGACGCCAACCCTTTTGGGACACTGGATATCCTATGAAGATGCATTTACGGGAGCGAGAGGCAAACTTGTCCTTCGGTTTAGGTCTCATATTGGCAAAACACAAACAGCCAAAGGTTTTTAAATGATCATAACTAGGTGCAACTGTATACAGCAGCTCGTGAGGAGTACGACCAGCAAGAATTTTGGATGGAGTTCTATTTATTAAATGAACCCCTGCAAGTACACTCTCCTCCCAAAACTCAATAGGTAGTGCAGCTTGAAACAGCAACGCCCTAGCTACGTTCAAGATGTGCCTATGCTTTCTTTCCACGCGGCCATTTTGTTCCGGTGTGTAGACACAAGTTGTTTGATGTATAATCCCATTTTCACGATACAATTTCATCAAGCTTTGTGATTTAAACTCAGTTCCGTTATCAGATCTAAGTACTTTTACCATTTTACCAAATTGATTTCTAATCATAGCTAAGAACTTGTGTATTCTGTCACAAGTTTCCTTTTTTTCAGCCAGCATATATACCCACACAAATCGACTAAAATCATCAACAACAGTCAGAAAGTAGTGTGCACCAGAAGAAGAA